TTTTTTTTTTTTTTTTTTTTTTTTTTTTTCCGGAATGAGGGATTGAACTCCTAGGTGTGTGCCTTGACCAACCTACCAATAATGTCTTTTATAAAAGTTCCATTCATTTTTTTTCTTTACTTCTAAAAATGTAGGTGTTTCCTTTGGTTTTTGTGTAGAATCTCACTGTAGCTGGAACGCGTAGTGATCCTCCTGTTTTCTGCCTCCCTAGTGCTGGGATTACAGGTGTGCGCCACCATGCCCAGACTCCATTGCCAGCTCAGTGTGCCCGGGGGCAGGGCCGGTGTGGCATGTGGTGTCAGGGATCGAACCCAGGCCCCTGCACTTTGCCTAAGCAAGTGCTTAGCCCGCTGAGCTATCTCTCCAGTCCTAAGAATTTAAAATGCAATATGACAGCATCATATGCTTACTAAAATGAAGTGATCTGCACTCCCCAGAAGAAAAATCTCTTTGTGTACCTTTTGCATTCTAGACCAACTAAAGAATTTTGTTGTTTCTCTTCTCTTCTATCCTCCTGTCCTCACCTTGAGGGGAAGACAGCCGTGTTCTGTTAGATTCCTGCCAAGGGGGTAGCGGGTGGAATACCAGAGGGGCACCGCGGAGGACAAGCAGCTCACCCACGGCAGGGAGAAGGCGGCAAGGCAGGCAGGGGCCTCACACTCTTCCTTCCCCTTGGACTTAGCCAGGCCAGTCAGTGCCCGCCACACGCCTAATCTGAGGACCCTGATCCTCGCACTGCACTGCACCGCGCGGCAGTCCCAGCATCACACGCTACAGCCAGCCGCCTCTGAAAAAGCCCCTCCCGTGACCACCTGAGCTTTGGGGGGACATCTAGATATATGCCATAACATTCCACCCCTGCCTCCCAAAAGACTCTGCAGATCCATGAATGCAAAAGGTATTTAGTTCATCTCTAAGAGTTGCTAAAGTTCTAACATTTTTAGTATTGCTGAAAAGTCCAAGTCATATCTCCTCTGACATTTAAGGCAAACTTCTCTGCAAGTTCCTGCACATATGAAAAGAAAGTTACACACCTCTCTGAGGTCTGCTCTGCCTCCTCCCTGCAGTTTTCCTCAGATGATCTGTGTTCTAGGCTGCTCCAAACCTGGGGTCTGTACTGCACCTGTAGCTTCACATAGCTTCACACACCGCTGTCTCAAGGGCCTGCTGCGTGGCCTCCCAAGCTGCTTCTGAAATTGGTGGTCGTCTTCTGATCCCACAACTCTTGCGTTCTTTTTTTTTTTTTTTTTTTCTCAGTGTTCTTGAGACAAGGTGTCCGTAGCCCATGCTGGCCTCATACTTGCCTTAGCCTCCCGAGTGCTGGGATTAAAGATGTGCGCCGTTGCGCCTGGCAACTCTTGCCTTCTGCATGCACCTAAAAGCAGTCTTGGATGATGCCAGTGTCTACCACCAGCTGGAATAATAACAGGCTGTAGGGGTCAAATGCTTATGAACCTGAGGAACAGCTTCCTGGGGCCACTGCCATTCTGGAACATGTGATGTGGGGTCTCATCCCAAAGCAAAGTCTATCTCCTTTGTAATTTTGAAGCTAGAGGCCAGATTCCTGTTGGTTCTTAGGATGTCCCAGGTCAATCTTCAGGCCAGGTTCCATTGTCTTCTGCAGTGCTTGACTTTTTTTTTGCTTATTGTCACCAGCCAATTTTTCCTCTGTTCTATCTTTGCAGGCTGCAACTTTACTGCAGCTTCCTTTCTGGCTAATGTTTCAATGATTTGAATCATTCTCCTGGGCTCTTTGCTCTTGATTCTTTTTTTTTTTTTTTTTATTTTTTTTTTATTTGTGTGTGTGTGTGTGTGTGTGTGTGTCCAGCTCAGCCCACCAGGGGGCAGGGCTGGCTGGCATGTGGTGCTGGGGGATTGAACCGCGGTCCCTGTGCTTTGCCAAGCTTGTTCTAAGTAGGTGCGTTAGACCACTGAGCCATCTCACCAGCCCCTGCTCTTGATTCTTAACATGCATCTGGCTAAAAGCCCCCAACATTAGCTGTGTCACTGCCCCAAGATTAGACTGCCTTGACATTTCTTCTGCAAGGTTCGTTAGCCTACCAGCCTTAACCTCAGTCTCAGGCAAAGTCTCACCACACGAGTAAAATGCAGACCAACTTTCTGCCCAAGTCATAACACACACTGCCTAGAGTCCAGCAGCCAATGCAGTCCTGCAGTCTTTCTTCCCAGCAGAAGCCTTGGAGCTTAGTCTTTACTGGCATCATTCCTATCAGCACTCTGCTCTTCTGAGCTTCAACCACAGTCTCCCATTCAGTACAGTCTAAGGCAGTTCTGCTCTGCTTTTTCAGCCTGCATCTGCAAACCTTTCCTAACTCTTCCCTTTCCTACCAGCCAGTTCCAAAGGCTCTTGAACCACATGGTCAAGTAGAGTCACAGCAACACCCATACTCTTGGTACTAAGTTCTGTCTTAGTTGCTTTTTTTTCCTGCTGAGATGAAATACCCAAGATTAAAGGTGGAAAGGTTTATTTAGCTCACAGTTCTTAGAGGTTTCAGCTCATAGGTGGCTGGCTCCAAGGCAGGGTGGCATGGCAGAGACGCATCACCGTGGAGAAATAGTCCGCAGCGGGCAGGCAAGAGCAAGCAAGGGACAGCCACGGCCCTTTATATCCCTTATTGTCATCCAGCACAGGTAGCACTCACACCTTTAACCCTAGTACCCTTGATCCCAGCAGCACGCCATAATCAATTCTGGCATCACACACTCTAGATCCAGCTGCCTCTGGGACTACACGAAGCCATAACATGGGCAGTCCCTTTGCGAGGGACTCCAGGAAGCAGGTTCTCCTGCCCTTGTTGGAGCCACTGAGGGTGATACCTAAAAGCCAGGAAGAGGTGAGAGTCACCCGTAGCCCTCCGTTGCACCTTGATCTTGAGCTTCTACAGTTTTGAGCCAAAACTGAAAAAAAATGAACTTCTGTTGTTTGCGTTAGCAGTTCTGTGAGGTTGTGGCCTGAGGTAAAACAGTTTTAGTATGGAGGGCACTGCTGTAGCAAGACTTTGGAGCCAGGGCTAGGTCCTGGAAGGGCTCTGGGGTAGGGCAGTGAGGTCCATTCCGATGGGGTCATGGATGGGAAGGAGGGCCGTGTACTTGGTGCTGACGCCGGAGAGGCTGGCTGAGCTGTGTCCTGTTCTGTGGCGGGTAGGACTAGGCGAGTGGCCAGCTGAATGTTGAGATTTCTAAGCCACGTCTTGAAGGGCGGCTTGCTTCATTTGGACTTCCTGGAGTAGAATATGAAAAGAGAGGTGAATTGAAGAAAGAATTGTTAAGCAAAAAGGAACAAGAGGGGCTGGGGAGATAGCTCAGTAGAATAAGCACTTGCCTGGCAAGCGGCGGGGTCCAGAGTTCAATCCCCAGTACTGGAAAAAAAAAAGGAACAAGAACGTGAAGATTTGGCAAATCCTCATCCTACCTATGCTAAAGAAAAATGAGGACATATTCGAAAGAAAACACTAAGGGTGTGTTTGAACAACCTCTTGCTGAAGAATTTATAGCATTATTTAAACAGAAATACTGCCAGTTTGAACTGAAAAGGATGGAATTGGGCCAAATGAAAGAAAACTTCAGCTGTTTTAGATTTAACAGGACAGGACAATAGAGCTATGTGGCTAAAATGTGCTGTTTTTTGAAAAGAGAAAGTGGCTCTCAGGGTGAATTAGGGATCACAGGGCCTGGCCCAGCTGGCCCCTCCTTAGTGCCAGAGCAGCCAGAAGTTGCCCTCCCGAGCCCAGGGCTGGGCCACCCTGGAGCTGCGGCCTGGGAGGTAGACATCCAGCCCAGGGATCATTCCCGAGACCTGACAGCGAATAAAATTTGTCTTGCCTGTCCAGTCATTGTATTTTGGAAACACCGAACTTGTCTGGTTTCCCAGGTTCGTAGCTGCAGAGTTTTCCCGCAGGATGAATCACACCCGTCTCGCCCCTCTCGGACTTAGATGATCTTTAGGTAAGATCTTAGACTTTAGGGCTGGTGCTCCAGACAGATTCCGACTGTGGAGCTGCGGAGCTAGCACGGACGTGTTCTGTCTGTGCGGATGATGAGAACGCGGGGGCGGGGGTAGGACTTGTGGGCTGCAGTGTGCCCCCAAATTCGTATGTTGGAACCTAACTCCAAAGTGATAGAATTTAGAGATGGGAGCCTTGGGAGAGGCTGAGGGTTAGAGGACGGCAGAGCCCTCACGGTGGCGTCGCTGTCTCCAGAAGAAGAGCTTCCTCTCTCCTCAGCCTGACAGCGCTATGAGAAGGTGGCTCTCCACCAGCCAGGGGCCTGGTCTCCAGAACTGTGACGAATCTTAGTTGTTTAAACCACTCAGTTTGTGACACTCTGTGGTGGCCCAGGATGACCACGATGTGGTGTTCTGTCACACTCCTCCTTCCACTTCCAAGTTCGTCCTAATTTTTCTTTGGCTGTCTTGCATCTGTGTGTCAGAGTTTCTGCATCCTGTTTGCTTTCTGAGTCACCAGTGGTTGTGTCGCGCCTTCCTAAGATCCAGTGCCGGTGTGCAAGTCTCCTCTGAAACTCAAAACCTCCTGAAGGCTCAGGAAGTGTCTGACTCGCCCCAGCTCATGTAGAAAGTCATGAAAAATAGGACCAGAGTCTGTCTTTGCCATTTACTCAATTGTGCAGTAATAATTTTTTCTGAATCAAAAACAACACAAGACCAATCTGATAAATGTGTGAATTTTATTTATGAGAAAAAGTTTAAATTGGGAGAAGTTAAGTTTACGTGTGATAATTTTTTAGTTAGAAAATGATAGGTTCTGGCCCTTGGATAAATTGTTAAAATCATCATGGTGGTCATCTAGTATGGCCCATCCCCCTAAAACAAAAGCCCATCTTCCTCAAGACCACTTCCCCCTTCTTCTCCAACTCAGTGCAAGACATAATTTACTTCCACCCTTCCCACCGCCTCAGGAAAGACCCCTAATCAGTTTCTCAGGTAGATCTAAACATCCCCTTCAAACTGGTTCCCTGCTAAAGGCCATAAAAGCCTCCGCCTCCATTTGTCTAGTCGGGAGAGAAACTTCCTCATCTTTCCCACACTTTCCCGTGTCCTCAAAAAAAAAAAAAAGCCCCTTTCTCTTCTTCCTTCTGCCTGTTTCTCTGCAGTGTCAAGAACCTATCAGAAAACATTTTAGGATTTTTTTTTTTTTTTTTGCTCCGAATGCCTTCAGGGCAGGTTTGGCTGGCTTGAGTTGTGGGGATCGAACAGCAGCAACCTGAGCCTGACTGCTTTGTTGAAGCAGCCACTTAAAGAACTGAGCTAAGGGGCAGGCCCCCCAGAAAACATTTTAAATTGGGTCTGTTTATGGAAAACTAGATTGTAAAGTCTCTGGGAAGGGTCCCTTTTCCTAAAATATTAAACTTCGCTTTTTGTTGCCTTTAACTCGGAATTTGCCAAACTTTATCATATCCTTTGGTTCTAAATCCACTTTGATTTCTGCATTAGTGTCATCTATCTGGCCTTGTAGGCATTTGGGCCTGTGCATTCCAGTGTAAGTCATAAATTCTGTAGGAGTTGAGCTAGCCAAACATCTTTCACTAATAAAAGTACTTAGGGAAATCCAGGAAGAAACCTAGATCCAGGTAGCAAGGAGAACACAAGTCCCAAGAAGAAGGAGTCTGCCTGCCTCGGTCTCTCCTGTCCTCCCTGCTGTCGCACAGATTGCAGAATACGGCTGTCTGATTTATCTCTCCCAGGTCCCCACTGCCTCTTGGCCTTGCATTCCGTCCTCTGGGCTCTCCAAGTGCAGGCTGATCTTTTCCTTGTTTTTCCCACGGCCTGCAGCCTGCGCTGCTTCCTGTAAATCCCTGTTTGATCCCCTAGCTCCCATTCAGCCACTATTTAAGCAATTAAGATTATGTTTAATCTGTGGC